CATGATCAAAAATAGTGGGGGAGTCATCTGGTCTGGGCTTCATAGCTAGGAGTTGTTTCTTTCTTGGTTGGCTTATACCATGTAGTCATTTTTAATCAGGAAGGGAGTGAAGGCACATGGCAAAATCCATCTTTTCCATCCCTAGCAAAGATGGTTATCAGCTATGTGGCTGTCTCTGTTCCGATGGGGTGCAGCAGCTAAGAAGGTGGCACGCCACATGTGTCCTCTAAGATGGCCTATGCATAGATTTTAACCATCAACCCTGTGTGACAAGTTTTAAGTCAAGCCTTTTGTTACAGATTTTACAGATTTTTAACCATACCCAATATGCCTACGAATCTTGAGGTACAGAGAATTTACACAATAGTCTTACAAATCTTGAGATAAGATTTATATCTTAGCAAAAGTTTTAGACAGTTAAAACTAAAACCAAGAGAATATGAGATGACTCTATGAGCAATAGTCCCTGTTGGGAATAGTCTGTCCCTTTATTTTGTTTTTCTTTCCTTTCTCTGTTACATGGTCAGGTGGCTTGCCTGATATGGGACAGAGATTTTGGAGAAAACCTTTGAACAAGCATGCCTGGGCCCAGAGGAGGGGGAAACCATACCTTAACTCCAGAGCCAGCTTTAATTGAAGTCAGACAGCATAAAGTAACAGTCTAATGCCACTCATACCTAAAAGACACCTGAATTCCTATAAAACTGAATCCAGCAAGCTGAGAGAAGGTTCAGAGACAGGAAATTTTTGAGCCCTGGCTACAGACAGAGGACGATGCACGAAGGAGCCGAGAGATGCACTAGCCAGGGAGGAGCGTGTGCAGGGTGTGTACAGCACAGTTGCAACTGGCCTACTCCTTTGCTTTCTCCACCCCCTTGCTAGGTCCTGCTCTGGACTCCCACTTTGCCACAAACTTACAGATCATCAGCTGTAACTTAAAAGACAGACATGTATGCAGTGTGTGTTTATGTGTGTGTGTATGTGTGTGTGTGTGTGGGAGGGGGTAAGACCAGTCAAAAACAAATGGCTTAGAGTGGAGAAAAGACAAATGATTGAACCTCTTGCAGTATTTGCAAAGGTCCTGAATAGTATTGGGATATAGGGTGCCATAAGGCAGCATTTGGACTGATTATCTAAGGGGTATTGAGGTCAAATTTGATTGCAAAGGCAAATAAGTTTAGGGCCCTTCAGGTTGGGCACCAGGTGTACAGGCTTGAGGTTTTCTAAATGGTATCCCAGGGGGAAGAAGAGCATACAGAAGGCATGGTTCCCATGCATGAGAGAGAGGGCAAGAGAAAAATATCTCTGCAGCCTGTAGTCATGGGCATACCCAGGACTCAGGGAGGACCAAATGAGTACCAAGCTTTTTAGAGGGAGGGCTGTCACCTCACTCAACGTGGGTCAGGGCTAACAGCCTGAAGGGGTGACTCAGCACTTGGGACCAGGGCTTTCAATAAGCCTGAAGGCTTGCCAGAAGGCAATGAAAACCTGAGCTCTGGAATGAGGTCTCAACCACAGGAAAGGGTTGGAGAATGGAGTCACAAAAGCCATGAGGGCCTAGAGAAACTGTGGGATTACGGACAGCTTCAAAGGGAAGGTGGGAGAAAAGGGCAGGAAAGGGGTGCAATAGCCCAGTTTGGTCTAAGGAAACTTCAGGACTGCAGCTCTAAGGATGGGGCAATGGAATCAGGTGAAATGGGCCAGCCATAACCTTAAAGATCATGGCTGGGGTACCTCCATCTCAAAGAGTACCAGAGGGTGTGGGACCCTCAACAGTCACTTCCTAGGACTAAGGGAAGCATTTACACTGACCAAAGAGGAAACTTACCAAATTGCTGCTGGTGGATGGGATGCTGAGCAATCAGTGAGCCAGAATGTGAGTCTGTTGTGGGTGGACTAGAGAGGAGGGATAGGATCCCAGTGAGGCTCAGACCTTGTAGGGAGCACAAGTACCAGGAGAACCTATCCGAGTCACAACACCAAATGCAAGTGTTACAGCTCTGGGGGGAAAGGTATCCTGGCAGTCAGGAGCCAAGGAATACCACAAAGTCACGCTGTACAACAAACTTCACAAAAGAGATTTATTGGGAAAGACACAGGAGGGTGGCTGCCTCTGCTAGAGCAAGAAGCAGCAGGGAACTGAGCAGGAGTCAGGTTTTATATAGAGTTTCTTGGGGACAGAACTTTCCAGGGTGGCCTGGGTCTGTGTTATCCGATCTTGGGGCAAGCTCAGAAATTGGTGGGGCTTTGTGACCTGATCTTGAGCTTTTCACTCTGTAGAGTACAGCTTGCTTGTCCATGTTTTGAGGGTTGGGTCTGGCTGTTATGGCCATTATAGGGTTCTGTGGGCGGAGCTTGACAGTTGGAGGTCCTCAGTTGCAGGGTCTGGCTACCTAATTCCCTCAAGGGGCTTACAAATACATCTGTAGCAAATACACAAACTCATGGAGATTAAACAGTTCATTACTGAATGATAAGTGGGTCAAAGAAATCCAGAAAGAAATAAAAATGTTCTGGAACTAAATGAAAATGAAAACACAAAACAACAAAACCACCAAAAGCAGTCAGTTCTATGAGGGAAATTTATAGCTCTAAGTGCCTACATTTAAAAAAAAAAAAAAGACAGCACAAATAAATGGTGTGATAGTGCAACTCAAAAATTTGAAAAAACAAGAACAAACTAAACCAAACCTAGTGGACAGCAAGAAATAATAAAAATTAGGGCAGAGATTAATGAAATAGAAACAAGAAAATAATACAAAGAATCAATGAATCTCAGATCTGGTTCTTTGTGAGGATAAATAAGATGGACAGCTCCTTGGCCCAACTAAGCAATAAAAAAAAGGGTGGGGTGGGAGTGGGGTGGGGCCAGAACCAGAATGAACAGGGAAACATTACAACAGACATCAAAGATATTCAGAATATTATAAGGGAATACTTTAAAAACCTGTACTCCATTAAGCTGAAAAATCAAAAAGAAATGGATGAACTTATAGATTCAGCAAAATCACCATAATTAGACCAAGAAGTTAACAACCTAAACACACCCATAACAAACGAAGAGACTGATCTAGTAATAAAAAGCCGTCCAGCTATAAGAAATCCAGGACTGGATAGATTCACAGCAGAACTCTACCAGACTTTCAAGGAAGACCTATAGCCCATCCTTCTTAAACTATTAAGAAAACAAAACAAACAAAAAACAGAAACAGGAGTATTCCCAAACTCCTTCTACATAGCCAGTATCACTCTAAGAACAACAGGCAAAAACACAACCTAAAATGAAAACAACAATGTCAATGGTGAACATAGACTCAAAAATGCTCAATAAAGTACTTACAAATACAGACATATAAGAAAGATTATACACCATGGCTAAGTTGGTTTTATCCATGAAATGCAGAGATATTTCAACCTATATGAGTCTATAAATGTAATAAACTAAATAAATGTACTTAAAGACAAAAATCACATGATCATCTTAATAGACTCAGAAAAACAACAAGGATGTCTGAGGAATAAGAAATCATATAAGTCATAAGGAATCATACTATTGACTGTTTACTTAAAAAACCTATAATAATGTAATTCTTTCTACAAACATACATATGAAGTTTTAATGAACTTTACTCATCTGGGCTGACAATGCTCTCTCCAAGAGCCTAACAAAAACCTAATACCATACACGAGATGCACTTATTTTGGTAAGTTAGCCAGGACTGTTCGAGAGATTCCTTAAATATACAGCCTATTGCTATTGCCCTTGGTTGCCACTCCTAGAGGTAGAAGGTAATTCCAGATTGTTGAAGACACCATGCACTTCAGAAACAGGACCCAGAGACCTCTGAGCTGGAACTGACCTGAATGTTTCTTCCCTGAGGACTAGCTTTCATGGTATCAGAAGGTACCACGCAAGTTTCCACAGGAGGGAAGCAAGCAGTAGTGCTACACAGCTATGGCACTTAAGAACCACATCAATGTCCAGCAGGTTACAATAATCCTATGGGTGCAGTAGTGGCGTGCGGACCTTGGCAGTAACCAACAGCTCTCAGATTGCTCAACAAGAGGGAAACCATGCCTGTTACTGGAAACCTAGCTAACTACTGAGTGCTAGTAAAATCATAGATATTGGAAGAGAACTTACAACCACTACTTTACTAAACCAGTATAATCCCTAGCAACAATCTAAACATTTGTCTTAATACTCAAAGATAAATGTAGCTTTCACTCATCAAGGAAACTTTAGATAGACAAAGCCCACTACAGAAAACTGCAGCCAATCAAAATGCAAGAGTTGTGGAGCCCAGTTCCAATGGATACATCTACAAAACATTCCTGCACCTAAGGTTCAGGGAACATTGTAGAAGAATTGTAGAACACTGTATAAGAAGAGGGAGTAAAAAGATGTAAGAACCAAAGTATAAGGCAGTTTGCTGTGAGACTGTGTCTGCTAGTGATTGTCAGAAGCTATGCCCATAAAGTCTCATCAACATGCAAATATGAGCTAAACAAGGACAACAGCAATAGACATGCCAAGTGGGAGAAATAGTCTTCCCCATGGAAAAGCAGACCAATTATCCAATACCAAACTGTCAGTCCTCAATTTGCACATACACATAATATCATACAGACTGAGATTACAGTTAGGAATATACACATATATGCATGTAATGACAATTAATGAAAAAAAGAGGCCACGAATTTTAAAGAGTTCAAGGAGGGGTATACAGAAGACTTTAGAGGGAAGAAAGGGAAGGGGGAAAAAAGATGTAATTATTTTATACTCTCAAAAATAAAAGAAGTAATTTAAAAATTATAGTATATATATTTTCATAGGTTCCATAAAGGGAAATTAATTTTTCTTATGGATTTCATTTTGAATGGTATGAGATAAAACAGGTAAATATACAAGCAAACATCATCTCTCTACATATGTGTGTCCTTGTGTATATATGAATGTAAATATGTATGAGGCATGAATGCAATACTTATTAAGATACCTGGGTCATTCTGCCAGTGAAGCCACATCCATAATCCCAGTGACATCTATTACCTCCAGCTAACTGGCAGTGGTGGGCTGGCCTCTCAGTTCTGCATGGAATGAGCTGGCTTGCTCTAAGGGCCTTTCAGCCTAGGAAAGGAGACAGATCCTTATAATGTCCTGGCAACCTGGGAATCCATATTTACTAGATTAATTTATCAAATGAACTTTTATATGTAATTGGAGGTTTTGCTTTTAATTCTAGGAAATATGCCACCTCATGACTAGAAGGTGGAGGCATAAATATATCAACTAAAATTGCTTTATTATAATGTGTACAGTGGCATCTTCTGCAGCATGGCTTGTCTTACCTTGATCTTTTGGTGGTACTGATGAAGAATTCCGCATTATGATGTATGTGACTTGAACAGTAATTTTCCTAAAATATTCAAGAACAAAGAATTAGAGAATTGTTGAGATATTATGTTAATACACAGTAAAATATGAATTATAAAAGCTTTTGAAAAATGTTTTCCTTATTTATAACTAAATGAGTGCCAAGAAATGGGTCTTAAGCTACTAATAATCATTGCATGTATTTTCTGTTCATTTTTCTATGATAGGATTTTGCCAAATATACTGGACTGGACTGGACTTGGGGAAGGATGCTATCATGTGGTATGAGGGCCTACCTACACCTCTGCTGTCACAGTCAAATAGAAGTAAGCCAAGTGCAGAGTCTCTGAAAATGCCCTGCCTGATAACTGTACTTCACACATATTGTTTAAACAATAATTACTAAAATAAATTATAAGTGCTGACAACTAAAATACAAGCACTAAAATATAAATCATAAGCTGCAAGAACAATGTAAGTCTAATACAGTCACTTGATAGAATATAGTCTCACCAATGTAAAAAGAATATGAAAGCTATGGAGGAGCGTAAGAAATGCTGATACAATCACACAAAAAGACAGATGCCAATATTATAGTCATACAGGAATGCACATAGTGGCAAATTCGCATATGTGTCTGCACTGTGCTTGGTCATGGAATTATAATTTTTCTTTTTAGGTTAGCAAATTTCCACATTGTCTATACATTGACCAGCAACTCAGTATTCATGAGGCTTGGTACTGGGAACCTCTCAGAGATCAGAAATCAGGATTCCGGTATGCTATTTGCACATAATCCATACACATTCTCTTGTATGCTTTAAATAATTTCTAGATTACTCCACTACTTGGGTACAATGTAACTGATATATAAATAGGTACCAGTATATGGGTGTATCTAACCTGAGGCCTAGCTATAAATGTAGTCAAACACATCTGTAGATAAAAGAGTCATGTCACAACATCCAAGGGTTGGACATGTTGCTTGTTTAGGGAATAATAAAATAAAAAAGTCACTACATGTTCTGTATAGATGCAGCTTTAATTAATTATAGGCAACTAATTTATCTGTTTATTTGAGACAAGTTTTTACTTTGTAGCCCAGTCTGGCCTGGAGCTCATAGAAATGTCTCTGCCTCAGTCTCCCAAGTATGAACAACATGCTCAGCCATCAATGCAGCTTAAAAACTATTTTTGAAGCAAGACATGGAAGTACATGCCTGTAAATCCTAGCACTTGAGGCTGGAAGCAGGAGGGTGAGAAAGTCAAAGCCAGCCCAGGCTACATGACAGCTTGTCTAAAAATACCTGGAATGTAAAACATGTTATTATTGTTATTTTGAGACAGGGTCTCACTATGCAGCTGTGGCTTACAACTTTTTTTTTTTTAAAGTGGAAAGTTTCATCAGTCTTGAACTCAGTGTTTTTTGTTGTTGATATTATTTATAAAAACATCTACCTAAAAGCTTATAAAAATATTGAGCATTATTTTTCCAAAGATCTTAATTGTCTTTTTTTTTATTCAAACACAGTCACATTTCTATTTTATATCCTCAAAATTAGAATTTTGGCCCATGTGGTGCTGTATGCATATAATTCCAGCACTTAAAAGGCAGAGGCAGGCATATCTCTGTAAGTTCAAGGCCAGTCTGGCCTACATATTAAGTTCTAGATAAAAAATAAGGATGGAACAGATAATCAAATCTTTCAAAGACACCAGAAATTAGTTCATAAAAACAGATCCTAACTGTAGCCAAATTTCTAGGTGGTCTTATTAAATAAAATACACAGAGCCAAATATAGGGGTGAAAGCCTTAGAGATCAGGGACATAGTGAGAGCCACCAATCAACCTTACCTCACCAGCTCTGCAACTTCCAAAATGCCACAACTTCATGTCTACCCAGACTTTTATTGCCTTGCTGTTCTGCCCTCTCATTGGCTTCTTAGCCCAGCTACCCCACTCCCTTGTCACTGCCTGTCTGTACAGACCTCCAGGTCTCTATGGTTGGTACTTGGATTAAAGGTGTGTGTCACTATGCTTAGCTCTGTTCCTTAGTATGGCCTTGAACACACAGAGACCCTGCCTGCCAAGTGATTGGATTAAGGGTGTGTGCTACCACTGCTTGACTTTTGTGTTTACTTAAAATGGCTTGCTATTTCCTCTGATCTCCAGGCAAACATTATTTATTAACATACAAATAAAATATCAGTACATTTCAGCACAAATAAAGTATCACATTTCCCCTTTTTGTCTAATAAAAAAGTTATAACTAACATAAGAAAAACTATATACAATAAGTACAATAACTATATATAATATATACAAGCAATAAATACATCAACAATGTCTAGTCGATTTGCATTTGACAAATTTGGAGAAAATATGCCATTTATCCTATTTTGGTAAGTCCAAAATGGACCTAATTCACTTTTTATCCTAACTTGTATTACCAACAGAAAAATATCTTAAAATGTCTTTCAAACTTATACATAACACTTCTTAGTTTCTTTTCTGAATTTCTTAACAAGAAAATTGTTACTACAACTATCTAATCTTTAACTCCATCAGAGACCCAAGAAGGAAATAATATTACCTAGTAAAACAGGAAGTGCAAACAAGTGACTTCCAAAAAAAATGTGAGTTGACAGAAACAGCCAGCTGCCTGGACAGTCACCCGAGGTTCCTCTGCTTAGACTTTCCTGGACAATGAGACACATATGCTCCTGGCAGGATAGATTTACTTCAGAGAGGAGGATGGGCATCAAAGACACTCCATATGGAGTTTGTCTTCTTTTTGGCAAAAATAGCCATTTGGGCAAGAAACTGTTCTTGCCTGGACTGCTTGACAAAATATACTGAACATGCAGGACTCATAGGAAGGTGACCACCAAACTTTGCAAGGCAAGATGGTTTTTCAGGTTCCTGCTTTGTAGAAGAAACTGCCAGAAATTCTACAGGACACAGAGAGAAGAGACTGAGAGACTCTAGGCCTATATGGCTGAAGATGGATGCCCCAAAATTGCAGAGGAACTGTGGATTACTGTCCAGGCAGGTAGCTGTCTCTGTCATTCTAGATTTTTGGAAGTTGCTCACAAAGTTCTTCCAGGTTTACTTAGGTAATATTATATCCTTCTGAGGTCTTTGATATAGTTGAAGACTAGATAGTTATAATTATGATTTTCCCTGGGTATGATAAGAAATAAATTAGATATGAAACTTTAGACTCACAAATATAGGATAGATAAAATATTTTCTTTAATTTTGCCAAATACAAATAGACTAGATATTATAACTGTAATTCTTGCCTGATAACTGTTTTGTTATATATAATTTTACTATGTTAAAGTTAAAACTTTCCTTTTTAATTAAACAAAAAAGGGGAAATGCTGTGGGATAATGCTTTTGTACACTGGTTTAATAAAATGCTGATTGGCCAGTAGCCAGGCAGAAAGTATAGGCAGAGTAAGCAGACAAGGAGAATTCTGGAAAGAGAAAGGCTGCGTCAGGAGACACTAGCCTGCTGTCCAGGGAGCAGCATGTAATGACACACAGGTAAAGCCACGGAACATGTGGCAACATATAAATTAACAAAAATGGGCTGAGTTTAAGTGTAAAAGCTAGTCAGTGGTAGGCCTGAGCTAATGGCCAAGCAGTTTTAATTAATATAAGCCTCTGTATATTTACTTGGGGGATGCAAGTGGGAGAGATATGTCCAGATTGCCAGCAGGCTGGGGCACAAGAGATCTTCCAACTACACCTAATGAGGCTGGAGAGACGGCTCAGAGGTTTAGAGCACTGTTTAGTCTCCAAGAGGGTTTGGGCTGGATTCCCATCACCTGTGTGGCAGCTCACCGCCATCTGTAACTCCAGTTCCAGAGGATCCAATGCCCTTTTCTGGCCTCCACAGGCACCAGACATATGAGTGGTATTCAGACATACCACAGGCAAAACACCCATACACATAAAATAAAAACAAGTAAATCTTTAAAACAATACCAAAAAACTGATCCCAAAGAGATAGGAAACCACAGCAGTGAGTTGGATAATTATGATGCAAGAGGCAGGGTCCTGAGTCTGGAGGAAAGAGAGTCTCCATTGTGTTTCTCTTTACTTACAATTATTGAGCATGCAAAAAGGTATAAAATATGATCCATAATAAAGAAAATAAGGAAAAGTGAACCAGGTGTTAGAAATAATAGATAAGAATATGGGGTATTTATTCATGTTAATTAACTTGTATTAGGCATGTTGGGAGAAGAGATACTACCCAAAATGAAACTGAGAAGGGCAGTTAAATCAAAGCAAAACACAGAAAATGCAAGTATCATAAGCTGAGCTGTACGACAAATTAGAAGTTCATTCCAATAGCTGGAGAGAAGAGAGATGGAAAGACAGAAATGTTTCTTTAAGAAATAATAGCCCAAACACTATGATAAAACTGTAGACACATAGATCCAAACATGTAAAAGCCTACAATACCCAAAAACATAAAGATTATGGCAAAGACTATGATTGACCAACCTGTCCAAAACAAGTGAAAATAAGAAAAAGTAGAGATCTTGTATTACATACAGAGGAACAATGTATTAAGGATGACAGGAGATACCTTATTAGAAACAATACAAGTAAGAAAACAGAAAGCATGAAGAAGGGAGGGAGAAACAACCCTGTGGTCTAAAATCCTATGTCCCACAAAGAAACACTAGGCTCAGACAGCTTCCTAAAGATTACAAGTCCTTAAGGAAGAAATGACTTCAACCATACACACATTCTTCTAGAAAATTGCAAAGATGGGTTTGAGCAATCGCTCAGATGGTAGAGTGCCTGCTGTGCAAGGATGAAGACCCAAGTTTGGATCCCAGCACCCATGTTAAAACTTGGCATGATGGTGTACGCCTGTGATCATAGCACTGGTGACAGAGACTAGAGCTCGCTGGCCAACTAGTATATCAGAATCCTATACTAGGTCAAGTGAGCTCCAGGGCAAGTGAGAGACTCCGTCTCAAAAAAATAAGGTTAAGAAGCAACGAGAAAGACATCTGATGTCAACCTCTAGCCTCTACATACACATACCCATGCATGTGTACCTGTGCACACACACACACATACACAAAGGAAACTGAAAAGAATGAATTTCTCACTATTTAAGAAGTGAGCAATATCTAGACATCAAAGCTAGACAAAAGCCTTTATGAGAAAAGAAACTAAAGACCAATATTCTGGCATGAGCACACATGTAAAAGTTACAAACAAGATTTCAGCTAATCAAATCCAACAATATGACACAACATTGTAACTGGGCATGGTATCCTTACCAATACACATTTGGTTTAACATTCAAAATGAATTTCATTCACATATTAATCAACTAAAAAAGAAAAATATACGATCATCTCAAAAGGTACAGAAAATATATTTGATATGGTCTAAATCCATGTCTGCTAAGAGCGTTAAGAAAATGAAGAACAGAAAGGATAGTCACTTTGGTAAAGAGCTAAATCATGGAAAGCTGACTTTTTACACTCTAAGTTCACAACTAAGAAAAGGATATCCATCCTTAGCACTATTCCCCAGAGCTGCTGCAGACAGCCACTTCAGCAATGATGGACCAGTGCACACCCATGTGCAAAAACAACAATGAAAAACTTTGAGCCATCTCACATAATTTAGTATGTACCACACACTCAAGTATAAAACTTAAAAACCATAAAATTCCTAAATGAAAAACTATGATATTTATGATTTACTTATTCACCAATTCATTTACTATTTTCCCAACCCTAACCATAAAGCCTTAACCTTAGGAAACACTATTATCTTTGGTCAGGAAAATTTATCAGAGTAAGAATGTCAATTGAGGCATATTCCATAGAATATCAAACTAAAAGGATAGAATTCCCTGAAACTGAAAAGACATAGACTATGAAAAGATAAGCCACAAAACAGAGGCAATATTTATAAATAATAAATATAATAAATAGTATTCAAAATAAAAATCCCTCTTAGCAATGAGCAAACAACCCAATTTACAAAATCTGAATGTATATGTCACTAGAAAAGATACACGGCTTATAAATAGGACAGGAAAGATGTTGGACATCATTAGTTACAAACTAAAACCATAATGCAAGGACACCATGCATCTATCAGAAGGGATATGGTGGATGTGGACAAGGATGTGGGAGAAAAGGAGAGAAAAATAGAGCATACATGAGCATACAAGCAAAACCAGAATACATACCATGTGAATCAACTTGTGTAAGATTTTAGAAAATGCAAACTGGAGGGATAGGAAACTGATGGCTTCCTGAGACAGGGAAGACAAGGATCTTGGAAAGAAAGACTAGGTGTGCATGAAGAAAATACATCCACCTAAAGGGATGAAAGAGGTGTTCACCAGATATGCTCCCGGGATATGCACACTTCAAAACTAATCGTACTTCATTCTACACATGTGCACTGTACTGTGAATCAACTGTAGCTTCATAGTATTTTTCAAGACTTTATGGACATGGATATCACTTATTTACACTAATGCCTTTTCATACAGCAAGCTGATGAGAACATATTCAACTGTGAAATTATTAATACTTTGTTCTTAAAAGAAGATATTAAAGTAGGAATCACTGGGAAAAATGTTATATCTTATTAAGAAATCAAAGAAATGTAACATGAAAACTACCTTTGTTTGCTTACGAGTTGTGAAAAATACAGAAACAGCTGGATGTGAGGGGAGAGTTGCCCAGGTGCTGCTGGTGTCGTAGGCACTTGCTGTGTGTTGTGCACTGCACTCCTGGAGGCTTAGAGAGATTACTCCTCAGGGCTACACCTTCTCTCCACTTTGGGAATTACTCTCAGCATCATCATGGCATCCAACATCACTGTCATAAACATCACTGTCTTGAAACCAACTCAATTCTGTACAACAAAATTAGACATTGAAAAGAATGACACTATTTTAAAGGCTGTTTCTTAAAAAATACTTGAACATAAAAAGTGATTAAGATATTTTTGCTTAAAAAGGTTGGGTATGGAGCAATGTCATTCCTTTTTATATATATACATAAAAACTACACTAATTTTAATACTTTTTATATGTACATATTTGTTTCACTAATGAACAACTACTACCTTTGAAATCAGAAGAAAACACAAGTTACTGTTTTAGAACAACATATTAGAAAAAGAGGACCATTTTCAACAGTGTTTGGTTGCTGATGCTTTTATTTTGTATGGAAAACACTGTCATACTAGTGGGGTACCATGTGGCCCTTCCATACATGCACTCGTAGTGAAATCTTTCAATTAGGTGAACCATGCCTCCTCAACCACTCATCACTTCTCACTGGTGTAATCATCAAGCATTGTGGGATGGGTGAGCATTAATAACTTATTTGCAGTCACCCACTAAGTGATTTCACACTCAAGCATCTTACTCCAATCTAACTCTAACTCAGTATCCATCTCTCATCTCCACTACACTTTTCTTAATGCCTAGTAACCACCATCTACTTTCAAGTTATGTTCCACATGAGTGAGACTGTTAGTATTAATCTTTATTTAACATATTATCAGGATCCATCCATATTGCTACAACTGTCAGGGTAGCATTCTTTTTTAGATGGTTCACTCATGTTTTATGATGTGTAAGATTTTAGAAAATGCAAACTGGAGGGATAGGAAACTGATGGCTTCCTGAGACAGGGAAGACAAGGATCTTGGAAAGAAAGACACTATCACTGCCTGACACTTAGGCTGCTTACTTATTCTGGCTGTATGACAGTGCTCAATAAACATGGCAGTATAGAAGTTTCTTCAACATACTGGCTTTATTTCTTTTGGATAAATGCCCAGGAGTGGGCCTTCTGGATCATATAATAGTTCTATTTCTAAACTCTGGGTCCTTCACAGTGTTTCCCACAATGGCCATATTAATTTACATTCCCATTAACTGTGCAAAGGTTTCTTTTCCTTTCCTGCTGTTGTCAACACTCACCATCCTTTGTCTTTTAGAGAAGGAAGCTGTTCTTATTGGGGTGTTGTGATGTCTGACTGTGGATTAGTGATTTACATTCCCTGGGTAGTTAATGATATTAAACATGTTTTTCAGAATCTATTCACTTTTTTTTTTTTTTTTGATTTTTCGAGACAGGGTTTCTCTGTGTAGCTTTGCGCCTTTCCTGGGACTCACTTGGTAGCCCAGGCTGGCCTCGAACTCACAGAGATCCGCCTGCCTCTGCCTCCCGAGTGCTGGGATTAAAGGCGTGCGCCACCACTGCCCGGCCTATTCACCATTTTTTTTTTCTTTTTTAAAAAATGTCTATGAAGGTATAATAGTTTGAACGGGAATTGTTCCTCATAGGCTCACAAACTTGAACACTTGGTCCCCACTTGGTGGTACAATTGAGGAGGTTTTGGAACCTTTGAGACATGGAGCATTGCTGGAGGAAGTACATTTCTGGGGATGGGTTTTAGGGGTTTGTATCCCCACACCAATTCCAGTTCACGTTCTCAGCTCTGTGTTTGTGGAGATATGATCTCTCAGCTTCCTTCTCTGGCTGCCTATTGCCATGCCCCCTCCCCCTATTATGGACTCTTTGGAACTGTATGCCAAAATAAACTTTTCTTCCATAAGCTGCTTTTGGGCATGGTGTTTGTAGCAACATAAAGTAACAGACACAGTAGGTCTATAACATGTTTTAAATCAGGCTATCTACTTGCCAGCTCTCATATTTCCTTCTGGATATGAACCACCTGCTAGATGTACAGTTTGTACAGGTTGTCTTTTCACTCTGACATTTTCTTTGCTGGCAGAAGCTTTTTAGTTTGATGCAATTCAATTAATTGATTTTGCTTGCTTCCTAGGCTTTAGGATCTTGTCCAAAAAACTGTTGTTCACTCCAAAGTCCTGAAACATTTCTCTGTGTTTTCTGCTAATACTTCCATATCTTACACTTAAAATTTCAATCAGTTTTGAGTGGTTTTGAGAACAGAGTCTATTTTCCTTTTTTTTAATTAAAAATTTTTTTCATTCATTTTATACACCAATCAAAGATCCCCCTCTTTCCTCCTCCTGTCCCCACATCCTCCCACACAAATCTACCTCCCACTCCCCTCCACAAGAAGGCAAGGCTTCCCATGGCGAGGCACATCCAGTCAAGGCAAGTCCAAACCCTTCCCCCTGCCTCAAGGCTGCAGGAGGTGTCCCATCATAAGTAGTGAGCTACAAAAACCCCCTTATGCACCAGGGATGGATTCTGATTCTACCGTCAGGGGGACCCCCAAGCAGATCAAGCTACACAATTGTCTCCCATGCAGAGGGCCTAGTCCAGTCCCATGCAGGCTCCACAGCCATTGATCCAACTTTCAAGAGTTCCTACTAGTTTGGTTTGGTTGTCTCTGAAGGTTTCCCCATCATGATCCTAATGTACTTGCTCATAAAATCCCTCCTCTCTCTCTCCTACTGGACTCCTGGAGCTCTGCCTGGTGTTTGGCTGTGGATCTCTGCATCTGTCTTCATTAATAACTGGAGGAAAGTTTTGTGATGACAGTTAGGGTATTTACGGATCTGATCACTGGGGCAAGCCAGTTCTCCACTATTTCTAGTAGTCCAAGCTGGGGTCATCCTTGGGGATTCCTGACAACTTCCCTAGCACAAGGTTTCTATCTCCATGATATCTCTCTCATTGCTTTCCCACTCCATCCCTGTTCCAGCTCGACCATCCCATTCCCTTATGTTCTCATCTGCCATCCCCTACCCTCCATTGCTCACCTCTCACTCTCAATTCATTCATAGAGATCTCATCTATTTCCTCTTCCTAGGGCAATCCATACATCCCTTTTTGGATCTTCCTTGTTAGCTAGCTTCCCTGGAGTTGTGGGTTGTTGTCTGGTTATCCTTTGCTTTACTTCTAGTATCCACTTAAGAGTGGGTACATACCATGTTTGTCCTTCTGAGTCTGGGTTACCTTACTCAGGATGATATTTTCTAGTTTTATCCATTTGCCTGCAAATTTCATGTCATTGTTTTTCTCTGCTGAGTAGTACTCCATTGTATATATGTAACACATTTTCTTAATCCATTCTTGAGTTGAGGGGCATCTAGGTTGTTTCTAGGTTCTGGATATTACAAACACTGCTGCTATGAACATAGTTGAGCATGTGTCCCTGTGGTATGATTGAGCGTTCCTTGGGTATATGCCCAAAAGTGGTATAGCTGGGTCCTGAGGAAGACTGACTCCCAATTTTCTGAGAAAATACCACACTGATTTCCAACGTGGCTGTACAAGTTTGTACTCCCACCAACAGTGGAGGAGTGTTCCCCTTGCTCCACATCCTCTCCAAAATAAATTGTTTGTAGTGCTTTTGATCTTAGCCATTCTGACAAGTGTAAGATGGTATCTCAGAGTCATTTTGATTTGCATCTCCCTGATGACTAAGGATGCTGAGTAATTCCTTAAATGTCTCTCAGCCATTTGAAATTCTTCCTTTGAGAATTCTCTGTTCAGCTCTATAGCTCATTTTTAAATTGGATTGTTTTAAATTGATTACTTCGATGTCTAGTTTCTTGAGTTCTTTATATATTTTGAAGATCAGCCCTCTGTCAGAAGTAAGGTTGGTGAAAATCTTTTCTCATTCTGTAGGCTGTCATTTTGTCTCATTTTCTGTGTTCTTTGCCTTACTGAAGCTTCTCATTTTCAGGAAGTCCCACTTGTTAATTGTTGTTCTCAGTGTCTGTGCTACTGGTGTTATATTTAGGAAGTGGCCTCCTGTGCCAATGCGTTCAAGAGTACTTCCTACTTTCTCTTCTATCAAGTTCAGTGTAACTGGATGTATGTTGAGGTCTTTGATCCACTTGGACTTGAGTTTTGTGTATGGCGATAGATATGGATCTATTTGCAATCTTCTACATGTTCACGTCCAGTTATGCCAGCACCATTTGTTGAAGATGCTTTCTTTTTTCCATTGTACAGTTTTGGCTTCTTTGTCAAAAATCAGGTGTTCATAGGTGTGTGGGTTGATGTCAGGGTCTTCAATTCGATTCCATTGGTCCACATGTTTGTTTTTATGCCAATATTATGCTGCATTTTATTACTATTGCTCTATAGTAGAGCTTGAGGTCAGGGATGGTGATGCCTCCAGAGGTGGCTTTGTTGTAGTGTTCTTTTAGCTATCCTGGGTTTTCCATATTTTTCAAATGAAGCTCAGTGTTGTTGTTTCCAGGTTTGTGAAGAACTGTGTTGG